ATATCTTATTATTGTTTTGATTTTCATCTCTCTAATGATCTTGAACATTTCTGCATGTGTTTGTTGGCTGCCTGAATATATTCTGTGGTGAACAGTCTATTCATATCATTTCCCCTTTTTTTTTCCTTTCTCCATTTTTGAATTACATTTTTGTCTCTTTGATGTTGAGGTATTGAAGTTTTCTATAAATTTTAGAGATAAGTCCTTTGTTGAATATGTCATCATCAAATATTTTTTCACAATCTGTAGCTTCCCTTTTCACTATTTTGGAGAAGTTTGTTGATGCACATAGAATTTAATTCTTAGAATGTCCCTAGTTTCTCTTCCGTTGTTTGTGCATTTTGGGTTATGCTTGATAGTCTATTTATACCATAAATTAAGACCCCTAAGTTTGCTCCTATTTTATCTTTGATGAACTTGATAGTTTCAAGTTTTACATTTAGGTCTTTGATCCATCTTGAGCTTGTTTTTGTGTATGATGTGAGGTATGGATCTTGTTTCATTTTTCTGAAAATGGATATCCAGTTTTGCCAGCCCCATTTGTGGAAAAGACTATCTCTTCCCAATTGAATGGGTTTCAGCTCTTTGTCAAAGATCAGCTGCCCCTAGGTGGATGGATCTATTTCTGGACTCTCAATTCTGTTCCACTGGTCTATGTGTCTATTATTGTACCAATACCAGGCTGTTTTGACTACTGTGGCTGTATAGTAAGTTTTGAGATCTGGGAATCTGAGACCTCCTACTTTGTTGTTCTTATTCAGTAAACCAAAAAAGAAAAAAGAAAAAAAAAAAAAAACATACTCACTGCCATGGGTCAGATCTGACTCATAGTTGAGTACCCCTACTTGGGTTTCTGAGGTGGTATCACTATGGATATATATTGCCCAATCTTCCTTCAGATGAGTGGCTGGTAGGTTTGAACCACGAGTCTTCTGGTTAGGAGTCAAGTGTCTTAGGTACTACACCACCAGAGCTCCTTCAGAAGTGTTTTCCTTATCTGTGCTCTCATCCTTTCTGTATAAAATTAGCGATTGATTTTTCCATGTCCTTAAAGAATACTGATGGAATTTCTATTGCTGTTGTATTGAATCTATAGATTGCTTTGAGTAGTACTGACATTTTCACAATGTTCATTCTTCCTATCCTTGGGCATAGGATATTCTTCCATTTATGTAAGTCTCTTACAGTTTCTTTGCCATATTCTTTGTGTAGGTCTTTTGCATCCCTGGTAAGATTTATTCCTAAATATTTTAACTTCCTAGTAGCTATTGTAAATAGTATTGTTTTCCTTATTTCCTTCTGAGAAATCTCTTTGTTGATGTAGAGGAATCCATTGATGTTTGTATGTTGATATTGTTTCCTGTCACTATGCTGAACGTTTCAATTAGTTCAGAAGTTTTCTTGCTGAGTTTCTTGGGGTTTCTATGTATAAGATCATTTCATTTTCAAATAGACATAGTTTTACTTCTTTTTTGCCATTTTGGATGCCTTTTATTTCTCCTCCTTGCCTTATTACCCTGGCTTGGACTTCCAATACAATGTTGAATAGAAGTGGTGATAGAGGGCATCCTTGCCTGGTTCCCATTCATTAGGAGAATGTTTTAAGTCTCTTTCCATTGAGAAAAATGTTGGCAGTTGGTTTTGCACATATTTGCTTTATTATGCTGAGGGATTTCCCTTCTATTCTTATTTTGCTGAAAGATTTTTTATCAGGAATGGGTGCTGAATTTTATCAGTTGCCATATTTTGCATTTTCCTACTACTCTCTTTGATTTTCAAGTATCCTGGGCTCAGTCATAGAGATTTTTCTTCAGTATATACACTCACTCCCTACTTGACCTCATTGAATCCCATCACCTTAAATATCATCTGTAACTCTTTCATATCTTCAGGATGGAGCCTTCCTCAGTACTTACTACTTGCATATACAGTTACCTACTTTGCATCTCTATTTCAGTGTGGATTGTACACTTCACATATTTAAAATTAACTCCTGATTCTCACCAAAAATGCTCTTTATGTATTATACCCCATCTCAGTAAATGATAACTCTAAATTTCTGGTTGACAGACATTTTTTTTTTTTTTGTATAAACTTTTCCTTGCCTTTTTATAATAGTGGACTCATACAATATTTGTCCTTCTGTTATTGACTTATTTAACTCAGTATAACATCCTCCAGGTTCATCCAAGTTATAAAGTGTTTTGTGAATTCTCCATTATTCTTTAATGTTCCATAATATTCCATTGTGTGTGTGCACAAGAATTTGTTTATCCATTCATCTGTTGATGGGCACTTAGGTTGTTTCTCTCTCTTTGGTATTGTGAATAGTGCTGCAATGAACATGAATGTGCATATATATGTTCATATTCTTGTGCTTACCTCTTTACAATATGTGTCTAAGACCAGCATTGCTGGATCAAATAGCATTTCTATTTCCAACTTTTTAAGAAAGCTCTATACCATTTGCCAAGTGGTTGCATCATTTTACAGTCCCACCAGCAGTATATGAGAGTTCCAATCTCTCTACACCCTCACCATCATTTTTTGTTTTCTGTCTAGTTGACTTTGGCTGTTATTGCTGATGTAAGACGTTACGTCATTCTTTTGATTTGCATCTCTCTAATGGCAAGTGACTCCTTGGAAGGAAGATGGGGCAATCTACTTCCATAGTGATACTGCCTCAGAAACCCAAGAAGGGGTCACTGTGAGTCGGGTCCAACTTGACAGCACATAATAACAACAACAATGGCAAGTGATCGCAAGCATTTTTTCATGTGTTTGATGGCTACCTCAATATCTTGTTTGGTGAAGAGTCCGTTCATGTCCTCTGATTATTTTTGAGTTGGATTATTTGTCCTTTTGATGTTGAGGTGTTGAAGTTTTATATAAATTTTAGAGATAAGTCTCTTATTGGATATGTCATAGCCAAATATATTTTTTTTTTTTTCCAAATCTGTGGGTTCTCTTTTTATTCTTTGGATAAGTCTTTTGATGCACATAAGAATTTAAATTTTAGAAGGTCCCAATCATCTAGTTAGGCCTTTGATCCACCTTGAGTTACATTTTATATGTTAAGTGAAGTATGAATTTTGTTTCATTTTTCTGCAAATGGATATTCAGTTTTGCAGTACCATTAATTAAAAAGACTGTCTTTTCCCCCATTTAGTGGACTCTGGACCTTAGTCAAATATCAGCTGCCCATAGGTGAATGGATCTACTTATGAGTTCTCAATTCTTTTCCATTGGTGTATGTGTCTGTCATTGTACTGATACCAGGCTGTTTTGAATACCATGACAGCATAGTAGATTTCGAGATCAGGAAGTTTGAGACCTTTGACTTTGTTCTTCTTCACTAGTGCTTTGCTTATTTGAAGTCTCTTTTCCTTACATCTCCTTAAAGAATGCTGATAGAATTTGAATTGAGATTGAATTACATATATTGCTTTGGGTAGTATTGATATTTTCACAGAAAGAGCTGATTTTTTTTTTTAATTTTTATTGTGATTTGGGTGAAAGTTTACTGAACAAACTCACTTTCCATACAACTGCTCACATACACTTTGTCTCATGACATTGACTACAATTTACCACGATGCAACAGCTCCCCTCCCATTTCCTCTGCATAGTTACCTCTTCCCTGTGTCCTTCCCTCCATGCACTCCTGCCTCCCAAGCTGTCTCCCTGTACATACACAGCCCTTCTATTCTCCTATGATTGATCTCTCCAAGTAGTGTACCTACTTCATGTAAATGTTCAACTGATATGCCTGTCTTTTGTTTGGCTGGAAGCCACAGGACTGGGCCCAATTCCAGACCTGAAGGGCAAGTAGGGCTATAGTTTCGGTGGTTCTGTCAGGCTCTAATCAGACTAGCAAACTTGGTCTTTTTTTTTTTTTTTTTAAATGATTTTGAGTTTTGTTCCATATTGTTCTCACATTCTATCCAGGATCTGCTACAGAGATCCCCCTCCAAGTGGTTGACTGTGGTAGCCAGACACCATCTAGTTTTTCTTGTCCCATAGTCACATAGGAGGATTGCATGGTGTACCAGTCACTTGGACTAATTGTTTCCATGCATCTTTGGTTTTCTTCATTCTTCTTTGCTCTGGACGAGGAGAGACCCATCGTTGCATCTAGATGGCTGCTTACAAGCTTTTAAGATCCCAGTCACTACTCTCCAAAGTAGGACATGGAACAATGTTTATGTATAGTATGCTATGCTAATTGATCATGATGTCCCCTGCAACTATGATCCCGAGCCCAGAGGTTCAACTGCTCGCTCCCTCTGGGTAGCTGACTATGACCAAGAAGTGACTACAACCTTGCCCTTTGTCAGCTCTACTATATACCTGGGAATTCTTACAGAGCATACAAATACCCTTGTAGAAACATTGTCTGCCAACCTTATACATGGTCATGGGCACACTCCTCCCTTCAGAGACATACCTAATAGTTCAGCTTGTGCACCCAGCTATCTACCCGTATATCAATGTTTGCCTTCACTGACAATGCAGTACTGTATGTGGAAGAGCATTCATCTTTGTTTTCTGTACCTCTCATGCACCTCTCTAGGTCTTCCCAGAAGAGCAGCTTTTGAGTCATACAAGGTTCATTGTTGTTGATGAAGTATTGGAAATGGTTTTGTGAATCATGATCTCACTTTAAAAACATCCCTTCACAATATCATTTTCTCTACATATTCCTGAGAAAGAAGCTTATAAAAGTTCTCAGCACAATAGCACTCCTTGATCATAATCAATGAATTCTGTTTGATGATATATTTTAGTACTGGAGTTCCATTAACATGTTATACACAAATTCTTACTTAATATCCTTTACAGAAACACAATGATACCAATTTATTTACAGATGAAAATGTGTTTAACTTTATGTTCTATGAAGCATTTAATCCTCTAAACCTAATGATACTTAAATTTCTCTTCTTTAAGGACACAAAAGATAAGTGTTTGAAAACTATTTCCAAATCAAGTGCTCAGAGTCAAACTTCCTTGAAAAGGAAGATTGTCATTACCCGATCTCGGATCTGCTTGGTTCTGACCCCATAAATAACAGGGTTTAGGGCAGGGGGGATGATCACATATAAATTAGCCAGAAGGATGTGGATATATCGTGGAATATTCTGGCCAAATCGATGAGTCATAAAGGAGAAAAAGGCTGGAGTAAAGAAAGCTAAGATGACACACACATGGGAACCACAGGTATTGAGAGCTTTGAGCCTGGCCTCCAAAGATGGGAACTTGAAGACAGCATGCAGAATCTTCACATAAGAGATAGCAATCAAAATAATGTCCAAAAGAATCATAGAAATAAGAAGTAGTCCAAATATTATATTGACTTTGACGCTGACACAGGCCAGACGTGCAATGCCCATGTGCTCACAGTAGGTGTGGGGGATAATATTATGTCCACAGAATGAAAGCCTCAGAAGAAGAAATACCAGTGGAAAAATCAAAACAAAATTCTTCCCTATTCCTACTCCAACAATAACACAAATTGTTTTGTTGGTGAGGATTGTGTTGTACCGGAGAGGGTGGCAGATGGCAACATAGCGGTCAAAGGCCATGGCTACAAGTAAGAATGTTTCAATACCTGTAAACAAGTGTATGAAGAACATTTGAGATAAACAGCCACCAAAGGCAATCTCCCTGAAGCCAAACCAGAAGATGCCCAGCATTTTGGGGATGGTGGCAGTAGACAGGCCTAGGTCAGTCATAGACAACATGGCCAATAAGTAGAACATGGGCTGGTGGAGACTGTGCTCAGTCTGGATCACAAAGAGGATAATGATATTCCCCAGAAGGGCAATCAGATACACTGTACCAAAGGGGAAGCCAAGCCAGAGTTGTATGTTTTCCAGTCCTGGGATTCCCAGTAGAAGGAAAGATGAGGGGTGAATACATGAACTATTGACCGAGGACATACTGTCAAGGGCCTTATGGTCTTACTCATTTGAAGGAATCTTTAGTTCCATATAAAGTTCTCGTGGTGTAATAGGTAAGGCATTCACATGTTACCCCTGTCAGTGGTTCAAACTCATCAGCTGCTCCATGGGAGGAAGATGAGGCAATCTACTTCCATAAAGATTCATAGACTTGGAAACCCAATGGGGGTTGCTGTAAATTGGAATTGACTAGATGG